TCCTCCTCCTCCTCCTCCTCCTCCCCCTCTTCCTCCTCCCCCTCTTCCTCCTCCTCCTCCTCCTCCTCCCCATCCCTTCTACCACTGACGATATTCCCTAGTTGAAGGAAACCACCCAGCTCAGAGAGCACCCAAGTACCCTACAAGCTACAGAGATTCTCCTTTGTGAACTCTCAGGGCGTAATCTACAGTTAGAATCTCCATAGACGTCGAAAGCGATTGCAGGCAACTGCTTTAGTCTGGCAAGATTCAGTCCTTGGGCTCGCAGGAATCAAGCCGCTTGCTCGGAAGGAACGCCACGCGTCGTTGTTTGGTTCTTTGGACTCGACGCATGTGTCTCTTGCACGCAGGTGTCCCCGAAGACCGAAACCTTTCCTCCTGGTTGGGACTACCCAAGTGGGAGGTTGCCCAGCCTGGGGAGACCATCCACGCCCCCTGCCAGAACTGGTGAGTGGACGACGGCAGGGAGGCCGTCCAGCCGAGCTTTGCTGGGTTCTGCACTTCTTCCGAGATAAAAATCCCTGGCCCGAACCTCTCTCTCTCCTTCTCAGCACCTGCGTCGATGGGCACCTGCAGTGCCAGGCAGACTCCTGGTGCCGCCTGGACGGCGGGTGGTCCAGCTGGGGACGATGGTCCCCCTGCAGCCAGAGCTGCGGAGAGGGTGTCCAGTACCGTTTCCGGGAATGTAGCAATCCGCCCCCTCAAAATGGAGGCCGGGGATGTGCCGGTGGCGGAGAGCAGCAGAGACCGTGCCAGAATGCAGAAGAATGTCCAGGTGAGTTTGGACCGGTACCGTATGAGGGAAAGTTCACCTTTTCTGGAGAGTCCTCGATTTACGAATTGTTCGGCAAGTTTGCCGGATCCAATCCGGATCGGTCGCCGGAACAGGAGGGTGTCTTCGTCCGAGCTTTCGGACACGTGCTGGAGCCCTTCCTCAGGGGAACTTCGCTCGCGCAGAGTGTGCGCTGTTCCGTGGGTGAGATTTATTTGGCACCCCGTAGTGGGCGGCTTTTTATTTGTCTGATTGACGATGTGTGGGCGTGTCTGGCTTTGAAGAGGTTGGCTGTTGTTTTGCTCGCGCTGCCCCACCCTCACCTTCTAAGTCCTTGATCGGCTGGTGGGAATTCAGCACTCCTGTTGACTGGGGAGGGGGCCTGTTCCCCCAGGCTTCAACCCCCACTTCCCTGACTGTTTTTGAGCCTGTTCAGCCGACAATCCAAGTTGCTGCAAAGTGAAACGCATGTTCTTGTTCGTTGCAGTGTGAGGCTACCTGTTCTGACCAAGGCTTCCTGAGACAGTAACAATCGCACGCTGTTCCCAAAATCCTTTTGGTTTATTTCAACAAAAGACAGAGAGAGGGAGAGACAGAAAGAGAAAGAGAAAGAAAGAGTGAGAAAGAGAGAGACATAGAGAGAGAGAAAGGGAAACGGGTCCAAACGGCTGCAGACCTCTGCCCTATGGCTTATCTGACACACACACACACACACACACACACCAGGTGGGCAGTTAGACTGTCCCCTCAAAACCCACGGCCCGGTGGGAGGGGGGGGCAAGTGTACCCCCAGGACGTTCTCCCCCCCCCCCAAAAAAAACCCCAAGGGCCCCCCGGGAGGAGGGTTCGGCATCGCCCGCCTGCATTCTGCAGGGAGACTTCCCGCCAATGTCGTCTTCTTTTCCCTGCCACCCCCCCTTCAGAGGACGAGGCCTGGGACCCCTGGGCCCCCTGGTCCCCCTGCAGCGTCTCCTGTGGCGGGGGAGAGCAGATGCGCAGCCGACGTTGCCGACGTCCAGATTGCCGGGGCCTGTCGTCGCAAAGCAAGACCTGCCACACGCACGTCTGTCTTGGTGAGTCTGCCGGGAGGCGCCCAACCGACGTCCTTCCCAGTTTTGCCCTCTCCGATCCGGCCTCCATCGCACCGTCCGCATCACACACACACCGGGAGGGGGGCGAGGGGCGGGATGGGCTGCTACCAGTTCACACCGGTTCAGGTGAACCGGGTGTTAATTTTACATCTGCTTTGCCGAACGGCTGGCCGATTCCACCCATCGAATCCCCACACAGCCTGTTTTGGGCCCCAGGCAAGTGCAGGGCCTGCGCGGAGACTCGGGGAGGGTGAAAAACGGGCCTCCTGAAAGTTCGAGAGGGCCAGAAATGGGCCCGTTTCCTTCCTCCGGGGGGGCTTCTGGAGCCCCCCCCATGGTCCCTTCCCCTTTCCTCCTCCCCTCAACGATGTAGGAGACCCCTCTTCAGATTAACAGATCATCAGAGTTGGAAGGGACCTTGTAGGTCATCTAGTCCAACCCCTCGCCCATACAGGAGACCCTATATACCATTTCTGACAGGTGGCAGTCCACTCTGTTCTTGAAGGTCTCAAGTGATGAGACCCCCACAACTTCCGAAGGCAACTTCTGTTCCACGGGTTGATTATTATTTCCAGGTCGAATCTCTCTCCTTGTTCAGTTTCCATCCATTGTTCCTTGTTTGGCCTTCGGGTGCCTTGGAGAATAGCTTGACCTCCTCCTCCTCTCTGTGGAAGGCCCTCAAATATTGGAAGACTTCTCTCCTGTCTCCCCTGGTCCTTTTGATCATTAAAGTCAGATTAAAGTCAGAGTTGGAAGGGACCTTGTAGGTCATCTAGTCCAACCCCCTGCCCTCAAATATTGGAAGACCTCTATCATGTCTCCCCTGGTCCTTCTCTTCACTGGACTAGCCAGGCCCAGTTCCTGTAACCGTTCTTCATATCTTTTAGCCTCCAGTCCCCTCATCATCCTGGTTGCTCTTCTCTGCACTTTTTCTAGAGTCTCAACATCCTTTCTTATAATACGGTGACCAAAACTGGATGCAGGATCCTAAGTGTGGCCTTACTAAGGCTTTATAGGGTGGTATCAGTACTTGATTTCGTCACCCAACTGTGGGGTCTCTACAGCAGCCAATGGGGCTCTGGGTGCTAACCTTCCCCTTCCCCTTTTTGCAGAGGTCGGCTGCCCTGTGGGCCGCCTCTACCGGGAGTGCCTGGCCGAAGAAGGGTGCCCCTACAGCTGCGCCCACCTCACCCATCAGATGGACTGCTTCTCGGATGGCTGCGAGGAAGGGTGCCACTGCCCGGCAGGCACCTACCAGCACAAAGGAGCATGTGTCCAGGTTGGCACCCCTGCCTAGCGGATTGCTCTGGGGCAGTTCAGAGGCTGCTGTTTCTGTGTGAGGACCACCCAGTGTTGTGGCCCACTGGTGGCTAGCGGAGCTGGTGGCAGACTGGGACAGTGAGGAGGTTGGGGAGGAACATGGGCCAGTCCTGGAGTCTGGGGAGGGCTCTGCATTGGAGGCAGAGATGGGGTTGACCATTATCAGCTGCCTCCGGAGTCGGAGATGAGTGGGGAAGAAGAACAGCTGGAGCCTGTTCCCAGTGTGTGCATGCACAGAGCTGCCAGGAGAAGAGAACAGTCAAGGAACAAAGGTCGACTCGGGAGTAAAGCCACAGGTGGACGGTGAATGGCCCCTCCCAGAGGGAATAAAGAGGAGCAAAAGGGGTTTGCAGGGGAGAATTAGTTCCGTTCATTCGGGTGAAGACCTGTTCCTGACTTCTTGCCAAGTAAAAGCGTGGCATTTGGAAGCTATCGGCCTGGCAACTCTCCAAAGTCTGATAAAGGCCTGTAGTTGTGAAATCTCATGAAAGACTGTCTGGGACTTTGGAATTCACTTTATAACCTAAATAAAAGGGGTTTTATTGGGATGAGGAGTCGGCTTTATGAGCTTGGGAAGCCTAGGTCGGAACACCCAGGATCTTCTGGTGTGTGTGTGTGTGTGTGTGTGTGTGTGTGTGTGTGTGTAGGGCAGAGTAAGAGCAGGGCCTGGTGAGGCAGAGGCTGCCCTGTCCTGGGCACCCCCAAAGCTGCCAGTCTCATTGAAGGGTGCTGTGGGACTCTCCTGAGTCCTGTGTGGAGAGGCCTGCGAAAGGATCACCACAATTAGAAGGAAGCGTTCGTAGCTCAGGGTCGAACTGTGAGGGACCTTGGGTGCCCTCTGAGCTGGGTGGTTTCCTTGCAGACCTTTCCTGGCCCAACTAGGGAACGTCATCAATGCTGCAATGAAGGAAGGAAGGAAGGAAGGAAGGGAAGGAAGGAAGGAAGGAAGGAAGGAAGGAGGAAGGAAGGAAGGAAGGAAGGAAGGAAGGAAGGAAGGAAGGAAGGAAGGAAGGAAGGAAGGAAGGAAGGAAGGAGGGAACTGTGGGGCTTTTGGTGCTCTCTGAGCTGGGTGGTTTCCTTGCAGACGTCTCGTGACCCAACCAGGGAACATTATCAGTGCCAGAAAGGGGTGGAGTTTGCAGAGAGGAGGAGAAGGAGGAGGTGATAGTAGTGGACAAGAAGGCGTGACCTACACACACACACACACACACACACACACCGTTCTCTCTTCCTGGCCCAGGAGTGCCCCTGTGTCCTGAGCGAGGAGGTTCTCCAGGGCTTTCGGAGACATTCGCCCCAGACGCCCGACGCACCTCAGCTTGTCGTCACTGCCGAAGGCCAACCTGTCTCCCAAGAAGAAGAAGTCGCCCCCAACAGCATCATCTCCGCCGCCTGCAGCAACTGGTGAGTCTCTCTCTCTCTCTCTCTCTCTCTCTCACACACACACACACCAGAAATCGGGGCTCACTTCCTGTCCCCCTGGAGGGAGACGGACGATCTCCTGGCCCCGGGATCTTACTTTTGGAGGGAGTGCCGGAGTTTGGTAGAGAAGACGATGACGTTTTGGATGTCGTCAACATACGAGAACAATTCCCCCCCCCCAAAAAATAATTTTTTTTTCTATTGCTCAATGAGAACAGATCTGTCCCGTTTTATGCCCGCTGTTAAGTGAATCCCTGCAGGTTATTACGGGAGGGACATGGTCATTAAGTTGCTTGTTGCCAGTGGAGCTCTCCACGAGCGTCATAAGTTACATGACAGTTTGCAACGCGTCCAAATTTTGGGCCCCAAGATTCTGACGATGCTGCCACCGTCGTATGTACGAGCCAGGTTTCAAGCCTCTGAAATGGGACGGGGGGTGTGTGTTGTAAAAAGTTCTGTGTTTTTTCACATTTCAAAAACATCCTTTTTTTTAGTGAACAGCATGATTCCAAGTTTTCACATTTCCACACAAACATGGCCTTGGTTATTACATACTCACCTTTCACGTTTGATTTCATATCCTATCATTACATTACATATTTTCTGTAAGTTTTCTCAAATATTTTTCTCAAATTTATCTCATATGTTTTCTATTCCTTTCTTATTTCTTTTTTATTTTAATTCTCCTATCTTCATCTGTCAGGTTTGCAATTTCATTGCATTCTCTTATTTCATCCTTTCCAAAATTCCATCCCAATTCAAACAATTTCCCACACAATTACCAATATACCTTATACATCATTTAATTAACTCTTTAATTCCCAATAATAATTGACTTTTTAATTATCAGCTAAAAAATTAATAATACCTCCGGTCTGATCTAAGTATGGTATATAAAATCATACATTGCAATCACGTACCTGCAAATGAATACTTCAGTTTCAACCATAACAACACAAGAGCACACAATAGATACAAACTCAAGGTTAACAGCACCCAACTTGATTGCAGGAAATACGACTTCAGCAACAGAGCGGTCAATGTCTGGAATACTCTACCTGACTCTGTGGTTTCTTCCCCAAACTCCCAAAACTTTAACCTCAGGCCGTCTACTATTGACCTCACCCCTTTCCTAAGAGGTCTGTAGGGGGCCTGCATAAGCTCACCAACGTGCCTACCATCCCTGTCCTATTGCTTCTTTTATTTTTCTTATATGTACCCATTTCACGTATTATTTCATGTATTCATAACTATGTTTATTCTTATACCTGTTATCTTATAAGCGCTTGACTAAATAAACAAGTAAGCGAGTAAATAAGTAATTAAATAAGTAAATAAATAAGTAAGTAAGCAAGTAAATAAATAAACAAACAAACAAACAAACAAACAAACAAATAAATAATATGATCTCCTAACAACTACCTTACACATATGCGTTTTAGGCCGGATTCCACATGGCACTTTCCCCCTCGGTTACATCAAATCATTAATAATTTCAAATAAATTAATCTATCCAATTAATCATCAAAACTGATGTTAATCTCTTTACAACAATCCTCACAATTTGTGAATTCATTAAACATAGTTAATGCACTTATCATGGTTTCTCTTTTTCACATTTCTTCCATTTATCTCTATGTATAATTTAACAAAAAACGAATATTCTAATAACAAAAAAAACATCAGTTCCAATCTTTTCATTTTAAAAGTCTATATTTTCCTACTTTCTAAGTAATTTATTACTTCAAATACATTTATAATACATCACATTATCTTGCAGAATCCCCTTTCTTAATCCTTATCTAACCATTATCTCTGTCTTTTAAATAAACTTTTTTTTCCCATTTTTGTTCAGTTTCCATATCCCTTTACTTCCTGGTTCTTTTTCTTATTACTTCTTTATTCCTTCATTTCCCCCTTCCTTTCCTTACTCCAGTTTTCCCCCCCCTCCCTCTTTAAAACTTTCTTCTGTAATTCCTTTTTCTGCTGTTTCCTTTTACTTTGTTTGGCTTTCAAAACAGCCCCCCCCCCACCTTTTTAAATATATTTATTCAATATTTATAAAATTAAAAACATACGTATACATTTTACAGCATTGTTTGAGCAATACATACGCTTGTACTTTCTTTCTGATAGTATGTTATACATTGTCATAATAACTCCTTCGTCCTTTTAAGCTCTCTCTATACATACATTTAATTTATTTATAATTGTTTACACGTTACCCTTGTTTTCCAAATGTTACCAGCTCATCAGATATCACCTTTTCTTTACCCAATCATACCAGATATTCCATGTTTTATAATATTCACTGTCTTGTTTATCTTTTAGCAATTTATCTATCCATCTTGGCACATTCATGCATTTTATTAATTATAATGTTTTCTGTTGTAGCCAATTTCCAATTCTGAGCAAAACTTATTCTAGCTGCAGTTATAATATTCATTCCCCGTTTTAATTGCCTCCTCAAATCTCCAAGTTTGAAATCCCGTATTCTTTTCCCCTTCGCTTTAGTATTCGTTACTCCAATTGTTCGTTGTAGATGGCCTCTTCTTTAATCAACTCTGAAATATTGACCAAGTGACCCTGGCGCCATTTAAAAAGAAACCAACAATGAAAAATATTGGACACAGTATATCGCTAGAAGATTGGGAAAGATTATGGTCGAGAAATTATAGATTAACGAGAGCAGCCGCATATAAAAATGTTTTATCATTTGGCATCTAGCGCTGGTGAGATTGGCCAAAATCTATCCAAATTTGAAATCAGAGTGTTGGAAATGCAAAAAGGAAACCAGTTACCTTCTTTCACATGTGGTGGACCTGTCCAAAAGCGATGAAATTTTTGGAATAAGGTAAAGAACTGGTTACAGGAAATAACAGGCTTCAAGAGAGTATCCAAACCTGAAACATTTTTATTAGGGACAACTAAAGGGGAATATACGAAAGATACCAAAGTGCTTAATACATATATATTAACAGCGGCTAGGATATTATATGCTCAAAATTGGAAACTAGATAATAGCCCCCCCCCAAAGGATATGATTATAAAGAAAGTAATGGATTGCTCTGAAATGAATAAGCTCACAACGCAGGTGAGGGAAGACAAAGAATCCTATACGGTCTGGGGAAAATGGTACGTCTGGTTAGACAATAGAAAGAAAAAAATAACGTAAAAGGAAAAGGGCAAAAGTGTAATTGTAAATTATATATATATTTGTGTGTGTGTGTGTGTGTGTGTGTGTGTGTGTGTGTGTGTGCAGGTCTTGGTGTGTTCGGGTCTTTTCCCATGTAAGATTGGGAGCATCTTGGCAACGTTTCGATGAAGTCCCACTCACCATCTTCAGGCTGGTGCTTTCGGCTTCGTGCTTGTGCGAGCAAAGCGTGATCGGAGCTGCCGTCTCTCTATAAATACTGGTGGGGAGATTAGCTGTGTCATCATTTCTTGATTGGTTGATGGAGTTGATGTTTGTAGATTGGCTGGCTTTTTCATAAGAACATGTGTGGCTGAGGTATTGGCTGTGTGTCTATCAGCCTCCTGTGTTGTAACAACCTGGGTAATGGGCTGTGTGATGACCTTCTGAGTTCTATTGTTGTGACATATGTATGTATGTATGAATGTATGTATAGATCTGTGGTAATGAACCTATGGCATGCGTGCCGGAAGTAGTACGCAGACCCATTACTGCCGGCATGTGAACATTCACCCAGAAAAGGTCTACTGTGCATGTGTGTGCACCGCCCACACAACAACAGATTGTCAGATATCTGGTGCGCATATGCGGGGGCGCGGTAGTGCGCAGGAGATATTTGTGTATGTGCAGAAGCACGTGACATGCCTGGGGGTTGCGCATGCATGTGCAGAAGCGTGTCCTGCGGGTTGTGCAGATTGTGTGCGCATGCGCAGGAGTCATGGGAGGTCCACACGCATTGCCTTCTGGGTGATAATACAAGCACGAGCAGGCAAATGTGCGTGCAATTATCAGCAGGGGAGACCAAAAGGGTTAGCCACCACTGGTATAGGTACAGGTATATGTACAGGAAAATGGAATAACTGATGCTACAAACAACTGCAAAAATGTATATAGAATTTGTTTTATAAAGGTGAAAATTCAATAAAATTTATTTTAAAAATAATAATAATAAAAAGAAAAGAGCAAAGTCTATCTTCCAAAACAATTTCTTTTATTTAGGAACGCATCAAATAGGCAAAAATCTGTTGTCCTTCCAGAATCTGACCCGACCTGGAATTACACCACATAATATCGGAAGTTAGAAACAGCCCCCTCAAAAGCCGCATTCCCCAATAGAAATAAATCAACGTTGCCTTGGTGTTGTCAGCCTCAACCTCCAGGTCTCAGCAGGGTCAGCTTTCATTCCCACGGGAAGGAGAACCGTCTCGCCTAAACAACTCTCTCCATTTCCACTCCTCCCACCTTAGGAAGCCTGAAAGCCTTCCACCCCCCATAACCAGCAGAGAGAGAGAGAGAGAGAGAGAGAGAGAGAGAGAAAGAAAGAAAGAAAGAAAGAAAGAAAGAAAGAAAGAAAGAAAGAAAGAAAGAAAGAAAGAAAGAAAGAAAGAAAGAAAAAGGAATATATAATAAGGCGAAATGAAATGCCCACGTATAGATCAATTTTGGGCTTGACACCTGGGCAGGCTGCAATGGGTGTTAAGCATGAAAAATGCCCCGAGTCTTCAGTGCCATTGTAGCTTTGAATGGTCACTAAATCAATAGTCGTAAGTCGAGGATGACCCTCCACATTCCCTTGTGTGACACCAGTTGTCCTCGACTTAGAGCAGTTCATTTAGTGACCATTCAAAATCGGCTCTGAAAAAAAAAAGGTCTTCCCCCCCCCCCCCACATTTATGATTCTCGGTGGTATCATAACCGTCTCACTTAGCAACCGATATTTTGGGCTGAACTGCGGGTTTGTACATCAAGGATTTACTCTACTCCCAGAATTAAATTCTCTGTCCACATCTGGTTCCCCTCTTTCCTCCCTTCCATCCAGCTCCTGTCGCAACGGCCAGCTGGATTGCATGTTCGCCCTCTGCCCTGTGGACGGGGGCTTCACAGATTGGACCTCCTGGTCTCCCTGCTCCTTGACCTGTGGTGGACTGGGCAACATGACCAGGACACGCGATTGTGCCCGTCCGAAACCTGCCAATGGGGGGAAGGACTGTATCGGCCCTCGGATGGACATCAAATACTGTCAAACCCTGGATTGCAAAGGTGAGGACCAGAAATGGCCACTGCGGCTTTGGACTTTGTCCGCCGGTACAGTACATTACAGACCATAATAAGTAAGCTAGATTATCAGAGCATATTCGATACCATGTTTCTCCAAAAATAAAACACTGATATTTTTTTTCCACCAAGAAAAGGCACCAGGTCTTATTTTGGGGGGACATCATCCGCTGACCTCAGTTGTGCGTGCATCTCCCGCCGGCCTCCTTCCGGAAGTCCTTTTTCTGCGACTGGCAAGGTTTTTCTGAAGGTCTCTGCAGCCGAGAACCAAGCTCTGGGTCGATCCAGAGCTCCAGAGGCCTTCAGGAAAGCCGTGCCAGTTGCAGAAAAAATGGGAGGGTAAGACAGCAGGAGGAGGAGGAGGAGGAGGAGAAGACCTGCTAATCTCCCCCTAACTTGCATTTTGTGTTGCAGAAGTGACCCACACCACAATAGGACCAGTCCCAGCGACTCCAGGTGAGCCCTTGCTCGGTCTTTTTCCTAAGGGTGATAGGAGGGAAGGGAACTCAGCCCTGGTGAGTAACATGGCTAGCAGGAGGAGGAGGAGGAAGAAGAGGAGGGAGGAAGGAGGAGGAGGAGCAGGAAGAGGGGGGAGGAAAAGGAGGAAGAGGAGGAGGAGGAGGAGGACCAAGAAAACAATCCCCTTGGTTGGTACTTTCCCAGAGCGTGGTGGGATGGAAGGGAACTCAGCCCTGGTGACGCTGTTGACGTGGCTGGTGTTTCTCTCCCCACGCGGCAGGGCTTGAGGACAGTGCGCTGACCCCCTGGTCCCCCTGGACCCCCTGCTCCAAGACCTGCAGTGACCCCAACCTCCCCGCCATCAAGACTCGTTGGCGGTTTTGCCTGGGAGGCAGTGGCTGCGCCGGAGACACCGTGCAGGAACGCGAATGCAACTTGCCACAATGCACAGGTGGGCAGGAGCGTTCACGGCGTCACTCGCACACAGAGCCGGGCCCTTGAGCTATTCCACAGGGAGCCCACACCTAATTTCTCTCTCTCTCTCTCTGGTGCTCCCCCCAGAGACCCCCGTGTGCGAGGGCAAAGACTGCCTTGGCCTGAATTGCACCTGGAACCCCTGGTCCCCTTGGAGCGAGTGTTCCCGCAGCTGTGGGGTCGGGCAGCAGCAGCGCCTGCGCACTTACCACCCTCCCGGCCAAGGCGGGCACTGGTGCCAAGACATCCTGACTGCCAATTTGGAGAGGCGTTTCTGCAACCTGCCGGCCTGTAAAGGTAACTTTGGGGGCCTCGTTTTTCTCCAAGATGGGGGTGGCGACACGGTTGGTATTCAGACAGTTTGGGCCACTTCTTCTGTCCGGGTCGGGAACATTTTGACCGTTCCGGAAATCTGGTAGGGAAAATTCTGACTGGCCCCGCTCTTACCTCTCACCTCTCCTATATTCTGCTGGTCCTTAGCTCAGCTGATCTCTGCCACGCCTCAGCTGAGCTAAGAAACAGCTGGTGGTCAATGTTGCTGTTATCTGTGGGTGCACAAATTGTGTGTTCATCCTGCCCAGCAATGGAACAAACAGCTGACAGACGCGCGAATCCTGCATTTGGCCTGCCTGGTATTCAAGAAACAGCTAACAGTCGGTGTTGCTCAGAAGCGGTTGCTCAGCAGGTTCTGACCACTTCTGGAGAACCGGTTGCGGAAATTTTGAGTATTTAGGAGAACCGGCCAATCCCATTTCTGACTGGAGATTTTACAGTATCCTTCCCCTGCCACGCCCACCAAGCCACGCCCACAGAACCGGTAGTAAAAAAATTTGAATCCCACCATGGTGTTGTGGTTATCTGCGGGCATGCGAATCACATATTTGGCGCACCCAGCAATGCAAGAAACAGCTGGCGGTCGGTGTTGCTGTTATCTGTGGGTGCGCGAATTCCATGTTTGCCACAACCTGGGGAAGTTAAAAAAAACGGGTGATGGTCACTGTTCGTCCCATTTGTGCACACGTGAATTCACCGGCAAACTACTGCAGAAAAGCAACAATCCCCCCCGCCTTTTGTGCTTTTATCCACATCCAATCATTCCTGTGGCAATGAGTTCTGTAGGTGAATTTTGTCTGTGGGGGAAGCCAGTGGTGGGATTCAAATATTTTTACCATCGGTTTGATGGTGTGGCTCAGTGGGCGTGCTTTGCATGCATGCAGACAGTTTGTGTGTGCGCGCGAAACACGCACTTTGTGCAGGCACAGAGGCGTTGCAATTCACCTCCTGCAAGCCTGCACTCTCCCGGTCGCTGACGCAGCTGCTGTGCGGCACTCTGGCTGGTCCGCGCAAAGCGGCTGTGCCTCAAAAGCAGGGGACCGAGGTCCCAGTATAGGAGCCCAGGTGGGTGGGCGGGCCCAACAGCAGAGCAGCGGAGAGAACCAGCGTTGGTCTCCGCTGCTCATCGCCGCTCCCGGCTTGGCAGAACCAGGCTGAAGCGGTAGAATGCCACCACTGGGGGAAGCCATCCCTGGACACCGTCGTAGGTGATGGGAGGTGGGGAAGAGGGGGACACTAACCGAGGTCAGGGCGGGGAGGGTGAGTTCTTCGCTGCCTTGTCTCCCTGCTGCAGTGGACGGGGCCTGGTCGAAGTGGAGCCCCTGGTCGTGGTGTGACCGGACCTGTGGGGCTGGGCGCTCGGCCCGCACGAGGACCTGCACCAGCCCACCCCCAAAAAACGGAGGGCGCCCCTGTCCTGGCGAGAAGTACCACGTGCGCATTTGCAACCCCCAGCCCTGCGGTAGGTGGCAGGAAGGAAGGCGTTGCGGTTTCTCACCGCTGGATGTAGAACGTAGAATCATCGGGCTGGAAGGGCCCCCCCAAAGATCCTCTAGTACAGTCCCCTGTTCTTGGCAGGAGTTCTTAGTCTACCCCAGCCCAAGGGGACCCCTCCCCTCCTTCCAGATGGGGACGCAATCTGGTCCTTCCTGTGGCTGTGTTTGTAATGGACACTTTTGTGGTCCACAGAGGAGACCTGCCCTCCCATGATGCACTGGGTGGGGTGTGCCAACCGGTGCCCCCGGCACTGCTGGGACCTCCAGGAAGGCATTCTCTGCCAGGAGAAGGAAGCCTGCGAGCCAGGCTGTCGATGCCCCGACGGTAAGGAAGCCTCCTTCACTGAGTTTTAGTTTACTTCTTAGTTTAGTTTATTTTTATTCTATTTCTAATTTTATTGTATTCTTTATATTCTGTTTTATTTCTATTTCCATTCTTCTATTCTATTTCTATTCTATTATTCTATTCTATATATTCTATTCTGCATTCTATTCTATTCTTATTCTAGTCTATTTTATTTTTATTCTATTATTTCTTATTCTATTCTATATATTCTATTCTATTCTGCATTCTATTTCTTATTCTATTCTATTCTGCATTCTATTCTATTTCTATTTCTTATTCTATTGTATTCTATATATTCTATTCTATTTCTATTCTATTCTATTTCTTATTCTATTCTATTTCTTATTCTATTCTATATATTCTATTCTGCATTCTATTCCATTTCTATTCTCATTCTATTTTATTTTTATTCTATTTCTAATTCTATATATTCTATTCTATTTCTTATTCTATTCTATATATTCTATTCTGCATTCTATTTTATTTCTATTCTTACTCTATTCTATTTTTATTTTATTTCTATATCTTATTCTATTCTCTATATTCAATTCTATTTCTAGTTTGTTTTATTATTATCCTGTACCGTCTGCCAGATGGTAATAGTTCAAAAAAAAAGGGGAGTTCCCAGGATGAGATGGATCTTTGAGGATGGTTTGACCTTCCTTAAGGCAGCGGGAGCTATAAAGCTCTTCCAAAGAGGGGAGAGGGCAACCCAGGATCCCCTGGGCAATGACATTCACCCCCTGGAGTTGCTTTCCGATCTGCCATGGTGCAATTGGAAAACCATACAGAGGTGCACTAAGTTCAGATACTCTCTCTGGTGCAGCGGGAGAAGGTCACCAGCAGTTTTCCATTCAGTTGTTTTCTGAGCAGTCTCAGGTAGTATAATCTCTGCTGGGCCCTTTTGACCAGGGCTACAATGTGAACACCCAGGTCAGGTCCTCTTTTAGGGTAACACCCAGAAACTTAAAACTGGCCACTTGCTCCACTCGGTCTCCCTTGACAAGCAAGGGCTGGAGGTCTGGTCTGTTCCTTCTATATAGTCCACTATCAGCTCCTTGGTGTGATGACCCCAAGGGCCAAGGCACAAAAGCAACCAAGTCCCAAAAGTAGGTAAAGTCCCTTTAATTCCTCCAACTTGGCCCCCAGTGCCCAGCTATCATCGGCTGGAGGAAAAACTCTCCCAAGAACAATTTGTAAAGGGAAGAAATTCAATCTGAACCCAAAGTACATATAGATTATAAATAAAAACCAACACAAACCACTTGCTGCAGCAATTAACGAGACAGGGCAGGAGAAGGAATTGCAGACTTCGAAAGATAACGAAACTCACACGGTTGGGAGGACTCCGGACAAACAAAGATAATGCAGGCTTTGCTTCCAGCAAGGAGCTGTGTGCAAATGCCCCACTGATATCCTGTTCTCCCAGCTGCAACTAATGAAAGAGATCAGGGCCTTTACCTCTCCCGTAAGCCACGTTGCTTCTCCGTTCCTCCCTGCGTGCCCTAGGATTAAGAGTGGGTGGCCCTGGGTCTTCCTCTGAAGGCCCAGCCGGACTGGGCCCTTCCACAGCCACCGGAGCCCCACTCCCTCCCCCTGGTCAGCTGCTCAATCCGCCCCTCATAATCAGACTCCAACAAGGGCGGGACACTTGGTCTTATTGCTGTTGAGGACCAAGATATTGTCTCCACACCACGAAAGCAACTGATGGTCCACTTCATCTCGGCAGGCAGACTCATCCTGTCCCCCGGAGAGGAGTCCCACCACGGTTGTATCATCCGCAAATTTAGCAAGAGTATTACTAGTGTGAGTGGGAATGCAGTCACGCCCATAAAGAGTACACAGTAAGGGACCGTTCAATGGCACAGCAGCAACAAAAAAAGTGACCGACCACCGTTGATCGGACAACCCTTGCAGGGGCTGGGGAGGGTCACATCATCAAAATCCAGACACTTGGCAACTGGCTCATATTTACGACGGTTGCAGTGCCCCGGGTGTGTGTGTCATGCAGTCCCCTTTTGCGACCTTCTCACAAACGAAGTCAAATGTGGAAGCCCAATTCACTTAACAACGGGGCAGCTCACTTGACAAACACAATTATTCACTTCCCAATGGTGGCAAGAAATGTCGTAATGCTGGGCCAACTCACTTGACAAGTGTTTTACTCAATGACATCAATTTGGGACTCAGTTGTGGTCATTTGACAGGCGTTTGACTGCTAGCGGGGGAGAGATTTTCTCCTTGGTAGTTTCTTGGTTAGAGTACTGTTTTCTGGTGAATTGTTTGTCTGGTGTGAATCCCTGCTTATCCTGGCACTCAGACAAATCAGTCATCAACAGATACATAGAGATAAACCAGATTTACACGCCATTGGATTGAACGATTCACTGAAAACTGAAGAAACAGAAAATTCAGAGAACATCCCAGCACAGAGATAAGCAGGGATTCACACCAGACAAACTACCAAGCAGAAAACAATACTCTAATTGAACAACTACTGAGGAGAAACTCCAATCCTCCCTCAAACTGGCAGGGCAAACTATAGATGGGCAGCGAACCCCACATTTCTTTGCATATGTCAGAGCTGGCTTGCTGTCAGGATTCCGGCGGTTGCCCTAATTACATCATGAGCCTTGAGCCAAGCTCCAAAAGAACTAACAAAATTTATTAGGAGCAACATGTCGGCATGACCTATATTAGTGGTGGCTAACTTTTGGGGCTCCTGTGCCAAACATTGTATGCGCACTTGCATGCTCGTGCTTGCGTGCCAGCACCCAGAAGGCAATACACCCTGTACACATGCACGCACAATTCCCACGCACCCACCCAATCCCAACCCACCACCCCCTTACCCACACTGCGCCTCACAGCTGATTTTCAGTGGGTTTGAGGCCTTTTCCGGCCTCCCAGCAGCTTGAGGAAGGCTTCTGCAGGCTTCTGCACGCCGAAAACTAGGCCCGTTTCGTCATTTCCGGTATTTTTGGAAAAACAGGAAGTGATGAAACGGGGCTAGTTTTCAGCCTGCAAAGCCTGCAGAAGCCTTCCTCAATCCTCTGGGAGGCTGAAAAAGGCCTCAAACCCACTGAAAATCAGCTGTGAGATGTGTGCATGTGCAGTGAGGTAAGTTTGCCTGCAGCTTGCATGCTGGCACAAATGGCTCTGCGTGTTACCTGTGGCACGGGTGCCATAGGTTCACCATCACAAACCTATATGAAGCCAAATCTGACATACATAATTTACAGTCATCTGTGACCCTGTTTCCCCCCTCCCCTCTGGGTGTGTCATGAATCAGATTCTCCAATGAAGCTCATTCATGGGTGGGTGTCATCAGTCACATTCTCCAACAAAGGATTTTCCCAGCAGAAGGTCCGGTTCCTTGGCTACAATCTTTTTAAGATAAGCGTGGAATGTGCTTCTGGTTCTAATTGCCATCTAACAGATCACAGGTAATCAGAGTTGGAAGGGACCTTATAGGTCATCTAGTCCAACCCCTCGCCCAAGCGGGAGACCCTACACCATTCCTGACAAATGGCAGTCCAATCTCTTCTTGAAAGCCTCCAGGGATGGCGCTCCCACAACTTCTGAGGGCAACGTCTGTTCCATCGGTTGATTGTTCTCCTCTGGTCCTTCAGGTCCCCCGCCTCCTGCTTATGGCAACTCAGAAACAAGCATAGGAATGTTTTATGAGTTGACACACTGAGAATGTTACCTAGCCAGCTAACCGCGCAATTGAGGCCAATTCAGGCCTAGGTCTAGAGTCGCTTTTCTCACTCATCTGGCTCTTTCCGTTAGGTACGCTGGAGCAGGATGGCACCTGCGTACCCCTCACCCACTGCGAGTGCACCGATGCCCAGGGACACAGCTGGGCACCAGGCAGCCAGTACGACGATGGGTGTAATAACTGCACCTGTGCCGCTGGAGGGAGGCTCCTCTGCACCAACTACATCTGTTCTCCCACTGAGTGCGCCTGGAGCCTCTGGTCCAGTTGGTCCCAATGTAGCGTCACCTGTGGGAACGGCCTTCGCACCCGCTTCAGGTAAGGCTGCTGCCAGGGTGCTGCGGGCAATGTTTGTGTCTGGGAGAGGACTGTAATTTGGGACCAGATATCTTTCTCATTGAGGGCCACACCCTGAAAAGCAAGAAGACAGAGGCTTTTTTATTTTTTTATTTTATTTTTATTTGTCAATTGCTTACAGGATAATAGGTATAAGTAAAAACATAGTTATGAATCCATGAAATGGGTACATATGAGAAAAATAAAAGAAGCAATAGGACAGGGATGGGAGGCGTGTTGGTGCGCTTATGCATGCCCCCTACAGACCTCTTAGGAAAGGGGTGAGGTTAACAGTAGACAGTCTAAGGTTAAAGTTTTTGGGGTTTGGGGAAGAAACCACAGAGTCAGGTAGAAGATTCCAGACATTGACCACTCTGTGGCTGAAGTCGTATTTCCTGCAATCAAGTTTGGTGCGGTTTACGTTGAGTTTGTATCTATCGTTTGCTCTTGTGTTGTTATGGTTGAAGCTGAAGTATTCATTGACAGGTAACTCATTGCAATGTATGATTTTATATACTTAGATTGGACCGAAGGTAGCGTAGTTCTAGTTTTTCTAGATCTAGAATTTCAAGTCTGGTGGCATAAGGTCTTCTGCAACGAGTAGAGGAGTGGAGAACTCTTCTTGTGAAATATTTCTGGACTTTCTCAACTGTGTTAATATCAGACACATGATATGAGTTCCAGACTGATGAGCTGTATTCAAGTATAGCTCTAGCATACTTGAATGCTCTAGTTAGTAGTGTGATATTACCAGAGAAGAAGCTACGTAGGATTAGATTAACAACCTTTAATGCCTTTTTGGCTATGGAGTTACAGCGGGCTCTAGTACAGATCATTTGAGATGAGTACTCCAAGATCCCTGACAGAGCTTGGATCATCAACAAGGTCTTGACTATTCAACCTGCATTTTATTTTCTGATTGTTTTTTGCCAGTATGTAAGACAGAGCATTTATTGGTTGAGATTTGAAGTTGCCATTTGTTTGACCATTCTGATACATAGTCAAGGTCTTTTTGAAGGGTAGCAGTATTGTCTGTGGTATTGAACAGCTTTACATCATCAGCGAAAATAACGCAGTTGCTCTTAATATGATCACAGAGGTCATTTATGTAGAGTATGAAGAGAGTTGGTCCTAGGACACTGCCTTGGGGGACACCACTGTTGACAGGTACAGAATTTGATAGGACGCTCCCAATTTTGACCATTTGTTGTCTGTTTGACAGGAATGCTTCTACCCAGTTATGCAGGTGTCCAGAGATACCGTAAGATTTTAGTTTTAGGAGTAGTTTGTCATGTACGACTGAATCAAAGTCTTTACACAAGTCTATGTAGATTGCATCTATTGCTTTGCCCTGGTCGAGTTGTGTAGTCCATATGTTTTTGCAGTGTAAGAGTTGCAGATTACAGGATAGTATTTTTCTGAAACCAACTTGTTTATTAGAGAGAAGGTTGTTTGTTTCTAAGTGGAGGGTGATGGATTGGTTAATAATTGATTCCATGACTTTACAGGTGACGCAGCATAAGGAGATCGGTCTGTAATTTTCAACTAGGCTGGGGTCTCCCTTTTTGCAGATGGGGATGACCATGGCTTGTAACCATAGTTTTGGCAAGGAGCTGGTTCTGAAAGATTTTTCAAAGATTATGCTTAGAGGTTCGGCTATGGCAGTGGATAGCTTTTTAAAGAAGTAGGCACAGTTGTTAAGTCTAAGTTAAGTTGTTATGTTGTTAAGTTGTTAAGGGCTACCTCTGTGAGAGTTGATTCCCACATGGAAAGAGGTTCGAGATGATAAGACCCACCTCCTCTAGTCCTCCTTTCTCCAACTAAGAAGTTCTCGGTCCTCGCGAGATGCTAGGACAGCAGTTAGGAAGAGAACCAGGAAGTCTCCGCCCCAAGTACATGGTCATAGACGACTTGTAAATTGGAAAGAGGTTCAGGTGCTGGAATCCTGGCAGCTTCACTCTTCTTGTCTCGATAAATCTTGTTAAAGAAGAACATTGGTACTCTTTAACATGATTTATTAACAAACTTTATTGAACAATAAATTTTGTTAAAGAAAACTATCAGTACTCTTTAGCAAGTTTTATTTAACAGGTTGTATCTAATTTATTATTTATTTAATTTTGTTAAAGAAGGCTATCGGTGCTCGTTAGTAAGATTTATTTAAGACTTTGGGTACTCCTTAGCAAGATTTATTTAACAAAATTTATTTAACAAAAAAATCTGGCCAAAGAAGACTATTAGTAATCTTTAACAATATTTATTTAATAATATTTATTTCATAATGAATCTTGTTAAAAAAGGCTATTGGTGCTCTTTAACAAGATTTATTTAATGATATTTATTTAATAAATCTTGTTAAAGAAAATTATTGGTACTTTAACGAGATTTATTTAACAAGATTTATTTAACAATAATAAATCTCGTTAAAGAAGATTATCAGTACTGTTTAACAAGATTAATAATAAATCTTGTTAAAGAAGACCATTGGTACTTTTTAGCAAGATTAATTTAACAAGATTTATGTAACAATAAAACTTGTTAAAGAAAACTAGCGGTATTCTTTAACAAGATTTACTTAACAAGATTTCCTTAGCAATAATAAATCTTGTTAAAGAATTGGTAATCTTTAACAAGATTTATTTAACAAGATTTACTTAACAATAAAAAATCTTGTTAAAGAAGAGTATTAGTAATCTTTAACAAAATTTATTTACAATAGTAAACCTTATTAAAGAAGAGTATCAGTAATCTTTATTTAACAATACTTTTTAACAGGATTTATTGAGACAAGTGGGGTGAAGTTGCCAGAATTCTAGCAACTGGAATGCTTTCCAATATTTACAGCCATGCCCAATTATGATGACAACTCATGAAAATTGTAAATGGTAAACTTGACCAACCAGATGTTAGAAACTTCTTTCACAGTGGTCATTAAGTGAACACCATGTCCTTAAGTGTCTCCATTGTTCACTATGAGGCACTTTTATTGCCAAAGAATGGAAATAAATGGTGTCTTTTGGCAAAAATGATGTAAATTGCGATCATGTGAATCCCGGGATGCCGCAAACAGCCTTAAATGCGGGTCGGTTCTGAGCTCTCAAAACACAGTCACATGACGCTGGGGAAGAGAGCCACCTATTGGAGCCAGGTTGTAAGTACCTTTTGGGGGAGTTCCGTCGTAAGTTCAAGTTGTCCCTAAGGGACCAGTCGTAAGTCAAGGACTACCCAAATCTGAGTGTGATGACCTGGAGGAGACACACACAAAATAAACACAGTCACAAAAAAATGATGAAGCCCCTTTTATTCCTTCACTTTGCTTCCAAGCTCCGAATATCCTTGACTGAAGATAAAAAAACCTCCCACACAAACAGTTACAAGAAGAAGGTTTTTTCCTTCCACCACAAACCAGACAGGATAAGGGCTGGAGGACGTCCACAGATAACAGAACACACACTGGGAAGGACGCCAAACTCAAGAGAGGAACCATAAACTAGAGATATTGCCATGATTTGTTTCCAGCGTTCACATGTCCATCCTCTTATTCAGTTGTCACAGCTGCAGCCCATGAAGAGGATCAAGGCCCTCTTCTCCCGAGGAGATCACGTCTCTCCCTTATACTCTCCTCCCTGCGTGACCTAGGATGGAGAGGGGATGGGCCTGGGTCCTCCTCTGACTGCCCAGCCGGCCTCTGCCCTTCCCCAGCCTCCTCCTCCACCCCCTCCGGATAGCCACACTCCCACTCCCTGTCGGCTGTTCCTCCTCTCCCTCAAGGGTCCGTCTCCACCAGGGGCAGGACACTGAGAATTGTCATGAAGAGCTGAAGCCGAGTGCTGGAGCCTCTTTGGGGAGGAAGAAAAGGACGAATCCCAAAGACCCTAGATAGAGGGTGGGTGGGTGGGGAACTATAGCGGGCGCTCCCGTCGGTGGGACTGCAGAGGCAGCGTGTCAGGGCCGCGTCGGAGCCTGAATCTGCGGGGGAAGATGAGCTGGAACAAGGGGTGGGATTCAAATTCCTTAACAACTGGCTCTGTGGCTGTGGCCTAATTTGTGGGTATGGCTTGGTGGTCACGTGACTGGCTGGGCGTGGCTATGTAGATATTGAATTTTTTTAATTAAAAAAAAGGGCAACTTTGACCCAAAACCAGGCAAAGCAGGCAGGCGGATGGAGTTGCTCGCAGAATCCCAGATTCACTCCAAGATCTACCTATCTGCTACCTGAGTCTTGTCCCATAAAAATTGCTAGCAAGCAAACTCACAAAATTAACTCACCACACCACCATGTAATGTAAATATTGGATTTTTTTATTTTAAAATAATTTCCCCGGCGTTTGGGGAAATTTGGAGCAACAAAGGGCAGGTTCGAACTTCCAGCTGCTCGTGTTACCTCTGTGCCGTGCCCCCCGGGGTGATCCCACAGTGGGAGAACCGGGCTGAGCCAGCGGCTGTGATGTGGGATTTTCAAGGAGAGCTTCAAAGACGGTTTGCAACCTTCCGCCCCGCACAGGACTCCTACCTCCGGCTCCTGGGCCCTCGATTGCCTGAAGGAGCAGGTGCAGACCCATCCCTGTGCCCTGGACACCTGCCCCCCTCTGTGCCTGCATGAGGGCCGCGAGACCAGCCTGGGCAGCACCTGGCTCCTGGGGGAATGCCAGCAGTGGTGAGTGCCCCTCCCTCCGTCCTTTGTTCTCCGTGGGAAGCTGAGTAGACATTTCCTAGGTCAGAGACGGGTTCCGTGGTTTCTCTACCCATCGGGGGCCCGTTCCGTGGTTTTTCCATGGATTGGTGACCAGTTCTGTGTTTTCTCCCATGGATCGAGGTGTGTAGTTTTTCCATGAATTGGAGTGTGTGGTTTTGTGTCCTAACTGGAACCAGGTCCATGGTTTTCCCACTGAGCGGGGACCAATTCTGTGGTTTCTCCATGGATCGGGGGGGGGGGGGGCATCATGGTTTTGTGTCCTGCCTGCATCCCACAGATGGGACTTTGCTCGTTTGCACGGACCAGTTTCTGGCACGTCATGGACCGACGTGGACTAGGAGCTGGGGACCCCCGACCTAGATGGGAGGGCATTCCATGCAGGGATGCAATGGGGGGGTGTCTCTGGACGCGGCTGCAGCTACAGGGAAATGCTTCACAACGAATTCACGGGTACCTTTCTCTCCGCCTCCTCCAGCATTTGCACCCCAGAAGGCATTTACTGCCTGAACATCACCTGTGTAGGTGAGTTTACTTTCCGAGTAGTGGAACAGGTAAGTCTCCTCTTGTCTCCTCCCTATTGATATATCTTTCCTTTCCTTTCCTTTCCTTTCCTTTCCTTTCCTTTCCTTTCCTTTCCTTTCCTTTCCCTTCCCTTCCCTTCCCCTTCCTTCCTTCCTTCCTTCTTTCCTTCCTTCCTTCCTTCCTTCTTTCCTTCCTTCCTTCCTTCCTTCCTTCCTTCCTTCCTTCCTTCCTTCCTTCCTTCTTTCCTTCCTCCTTCTTCC